CGGCCCGGCGGGGCCTGTCATTCCACAAGTTTTGAAAATTTCAAAAAACACCCTTATGTGATTTTTTTCGATCAAAAAATTTTTTTCGAATTTTTTTTTGATATTTTTCGATCAAACAGACAAACAATCCAAAAAGCACAAAAAATAATAGAAAATTGTATTGAAAGCTCAAAATTCGGTTCAAAATGATAAAATTTTTGGTACCGGGCCTTCCGGGCCGGGCCCGGGCCTTGAAATTTTCCTCAGGCCCGGGCCGGGCTTTGGCGGGCCGGCCCGGAATTTTACAAGTATGCTGCTAGCTAAATAATGGAAAAAATACATTTTTGGAAAAGCTCAAAAAATTCCAATTTAAGATCATTTAAAGGTGGGGGGACATGAGATTTTTCGTAGTTTTTTTGTAGCTAGAGTATGCATTCTACCGTGACGGTGTACAACGCTTAATGTCACTCTGCGTACAGCTGTCGTTCTCGCCTTTATGTATGCAATCGGGCGTGCGCTTTCTCTTTGCCCGCGTGGCTCAGTCGGTAGCGGCGCCGCACCCTCAATCATCGCCCTCACAAGTTCAACTCCTCGAGGAGCATCTTTGAACGGAATTTCGAGAACATTATTTTTTTCATGTCCCCCCACCTTTAAAAAAAACCCCCCTCATGTATTACTCTGGTAAAAAATCGGGGTTGTGGAAGAAAAACGGCGGTGGCCGTAGCCGAAGATCACACTACCGTAACCTAAAATTGTCTTTATTTTCTGACATTAATATCTCGTTTTTCACTGCTTTTCGTCGAGTTTTCTGTTACCTTTCCCTAGTGAAAAAATTGACTTAAAATGTACGGAAATTGATTTAAAAACTGGAAAGTATAGATTTTAAGGTTACAGTAGTTGTCGTTGTGGGACCTTTTGGACACGGCCACCGGCGTTTCTCTCCCACAGCGCCGATTTTTTGGGCCAGAATAGTATTTTCTTTTAAAAAGTTTCGAAGTATTTTTTCTGTTTCCTCACCTACTTTTATAACTATCACTATTTGTCATTTGTTGTTTGGCTTCTTTTGAATTTTTGCTGAATAATGGAAAAATGAATTTTCTGGTAAGCTGAAAACATTTAAAACATTTCAAATTACCCTAATTTTATAAATATCACTCATGTATGCGTCGGAGCATCTTAGATCCGTAGTTTCTTCATTAAAATCATTCCAGGCAAGAAATACAAACTAGGACCAGTTCTTGGAGATGGTGGCTACGGTACCGTATTCCAGTCTCAAGATGACGACATCAAAATTGCGGTGAAGACGGAAAAGTTCAGTAAATCGCAACTGAAAATCGAAATTGTCGTTTTGAAAGCGGCGATGCAGGCCAATTGTAAACACTTTTGTGAGCTCATTGATTGTGTGAGTTTTCTCCTTGTTTTTGGAGTCTAAAATATGGGAAATTTGGGTTTCTTGGATGTTAGAAAAAATTTTATAAGTAGAGAATAGTGAAAAGGTTGATAAATCGTTACAGTCATATCAAAAAATAGTGTATGCTTCGGCAAAGAATTCCTTGTGAAACGGAAAATTTTTTTTTTTTTAGCAAAAACATATTTTTTGTACAAAAAAACATCGTCCCACGACAACTACCGTAACCTGAAAAAAAAATTCACTTTTAGGATTTATTTTCTCGATTGTCGTGTGTTTTCAGTCAATTTTTTTCGATATCAAAAATATTTATTTTGCGATTTTTTTTTGAAAAATAACAGGAAAAAAACGAGGAAATAAATCCTGAAAATAAAAATATGTTTAAGTTACTGTAGTTGTCTTTGTGGGACCTCAGGCCCAAATTGTTTTGTACCAGAATTAGAAAAATTAGATGAAAGCACTGAGTTAGCAAAGAATGTCATCTGCTCTGCGAAAGACTTTGTTGGGAAACAGAAAATAATTTTTTGAAGAAAAATATGGAAATATAATAGCAAGTTTTGAAATTTTTCCGATTCTGAAGACTCTCACTTCAATAAATTTCAAAATTTTCGGTATTTGTAACATTTTTTCTAGGATTTCTGGAACTTCCGAAGTCATCACAAGCTTCGAATTATATCGGAAGTTTCAAGCCTGAGATCGCTTTTCAATTCGAGGCACAAATTTTATAAATTTGATGAAACAGAAAAAATTGATTTTAAAAAAGTTTTCTGTTACAAAAAATCTGAAGGTCCAACAACGGCAACTACCGTAACCTAAAAATAGGTTTACTTTCCAGATTTATTTTCTCGATTTTCGTGCGTTTTTAGTCAATTTTTTCGCTATCAAAAACTTGTATTTTTCGACTTGAAAATCAGAGAAAAGCAAAAGAATAAATCTTGAAAATAAGAATATATCTCGGTTACGGTAGATGTTGCCGTGGGATCTTCGACCAGATTTTTTTGTATCAGAGTAGTAGACGAATGCTCACAGTTAACAATCAAATATCATCTACTCTGCACAAAAGTTGATTATGAAACAGACATTTTTTTTAGTCAAAAAATATAATTTTGGAGAAATAAATTTCTAATTTTTCGATTCTACGACCTCCCAGGAAAACGATTTTCGAATTGAATGTAATTTTGAAAATTCCATTATTCAACATTTCTGGAATTTCTGAAATCGTCAGAACCTATAAATTTAAGCGGATATTTCAAGCCTAAACGATGTTAAATTCGACATACAAGTCTTACAAATTTAATGAAACAGAAAAATTAAAATGTTTTCATTTTTCCAGGGAACAAAACTAAAAGATTTCGACTACATGATGATAACACTATTGGGAAAGGATCTTCACAAGTTGAGATGTGAACTTCCCGAACGAAAATTCTCCATCAACACGGCACTTCGTATTGGGATTCAGACATTGAAGGTTGGTCTACAGTAATTCCTTCACACTGTCATGCTTGAGCTTAATTATCTCGGTTCCTGTGAAAGATATCTGACAAATGTCAACTGACGAAATGTCTCTGATATTATGATAATTAATTTATCAGTTGACAACTTTTTCATATCTTTGACAGGAATCGAGATAATTGAGCTCGATGCGGGTGGTCCTCTATTAGAGGATTTACAGTATCTACAGTAACCGTATAAAAATTTCAATTGAAGGCGTGCGAAGAACTCCACCGCATTGGATTTGTTTCCCGTGACGTCAAGCCTGGAAATTTTGCTCCTGGAGTCAAAGCGAATCGTCAAAGTCGGACAATCTTCATGTACGATTTTGGTCTAGCCCGACGATATATTGATAAGAACAATCAAATTATTGGATCAAGAAAAGAAGTTGGATGGCGTGGAACAACGAGATACGGTAGTCTGAATGCTCATAAAAGACAAGATTTGGGACGGAGAGATGATTTGGAGAGTTGGTTTTATGGTTTAGTTGAAATGACAAGAGGAACACTTCCATGGAGAAATATTGTCGGTAAGAGAGGAGGACATCATGGTGGGCGGATATTTTTTTGTAAATTTTTTGATACCCGAGAACCTTTACTAGAAGGGCACCCTCACTTCGAGCCAATTTATATCGGAACCTGTCAGAGATACAAAAAAGTTAAGTGTCATAATATCTTGCATAGAAATTCAGATAATTGAGCTCGAAGTTGACAGCGGGGGCCCTTCTATTGCAGGTTTCACAACATTTCAAAGTTTAAAAACTTTTTTATAAAACTTCCAGAAAGAAATCATGTGCAGAAGGCGAAGGAGAACTCCCGATTGGCTGGTCGCGTTCAGTTTCTTTTTGAAACTCCCAGTCAATATGATAAAATATTCACATTGATTGATAGTTATTCGTTTGAATCGGCACCTGATTATAACCAGATTAACAAGTATTTGGTGGAGGTTCGTTGTTTTTGGAGATTCTGAAATTTTGAAATTCTGAAATTCTGTGATACTGCAATTTTGTGATTTAGAGTTTATGAGATTTGAAAATTCTAAAATTCGGAATAAAGACATTCATCGCGTTGACAAATAAACTGATAGTTTCTCGTGTCTAATTCCAAAATTGCGAAACCGAAACAAATTTTGAATAATCGAATCTACCTTGGAGACGTCGTTCTGAAATTCTGAAATTCAGAGATAGCGTCCTCGGCCTACGGCCGACTCCTCCCTTCGCTCGCTCCGCTCGCTCAGGTCGAGCAGACCGGACAGGACCTTTGGCCCTGTAACATGTGCCCCAAAACAATTCATTAATTTTTCACTCAAAACCTATTAACTCTTTTAATTTTTAAGCAAATCCAGTTTTCAGAGTTTATGAGATTTGAAAATTCTGAGGTTCCGAAATTGGGAAATTCTAAAATTCTACTATTCTGAAATTCTGAAATTCTGAATTTAGCTGTATTAGAAAAATCGTCCCAATAAGCTGATAATTTCTAGAGGTCATTCTCAAAATGGCGAAACCGAAAAAAATAATTTTGTTCTGAAAAAATAGAAATAGAAACATAAAGTTCTAAGCGGTTCTGAAACTCTGAGATTCTAAGATTCCAAAAATTCGAAAATTCAAAAATTCGGAGATTTTTTAAGTGTTTTTGAGATTCTGAAATTCTGAGATTCTAAAATTCTGAAATACTGGAACTCTCAGATTCTGGTATTTTGTAGTTTGGGAATTCTACAATTTCTGAGAATCTGGGATACTGAAATTAGCTGACACAATTAAAAGGCTCCTGGACGTTTCAGAACCCGACGTTTCGGAACCACGACGTTTCAGAACCCGCCATTTCAGAACTTTTCTGCATTTTTGTATAGTGGTTTTTGCGCACCAGATGAGAATTGCTCATTTCAATTTTGTGTTTTTCTGCTTTTTTGTTCATTCTCATCTACCGTACTCCAAATAATGATAGGTTCACACTGGGAATCTCTCAACAAATCGAAAAAGTAGAACTTTTAAAAAACGATGTCATTAATAAAACCATTCAAAATGAGACTTCTATTCGCCGGAAAATTATTGCGTACTTCTAGACATCGTTTCAAAAGCAGAAAAACCCAAAATTGAAATGAGCAATGCTCATCTGGTGCGCAAAAACCACTATACAAAAATGCAGAAAAGTTCTGTAACATCGGGTTCTGAACTGTCGGGTTCTGAAACGTCCAGGAGCCAATTAAAATGGCAATAAATTAACTTAACTAATAGTTTCTCGTCTCTATTTTCCAAATTGTGAAACCGAAAAAAAATTAGTCGCTTAAGTCTACTTTGAAAACGTCGTTCTGAGCATACTTG